CCTGAGAATGGGAGGATGGATCCATTGACATGGGTAGAGGACAACCCCAGAGCACACAGAGGGAAGGGACCATCGCTCCCCAGAGACCTCAGGGATGCTTCCAGAAGGCAGGATTGAGCCTAGACTTTAGATAGATGTCTATAGATATGGGGCCTGGAATGTCAGAGCAGAGGGAATAACAAGCAAAGACTCCCAGGAGGGCAGGGGTGTGGAAAGAGAGGGTGGTGAGGCAGCAGGGAGTGGTGGAGGAGCTCACAGGGCTTCGGGCTAGGAAGGCAGGCAGGACCCAGTGGCTGCCTAACAAGTGCCCCTTGGACCCAGCAGGCGTGGGGACACTGAAAGGTGCACATGGGAGGAAAGGATGGCAGCCTTCTAAGGGAACCCTGCTGGCTGCCTGGCTCATGGGCTGTAGGGGCCAAGTGCAGACAGGACCCAGGTGACAGGTGTCTGCTGCCACAGCCCCTGTGATCACAGTCTAAGCTGGGAGGGACACAGTGGGCAAAGTCAGACCAGGCTAGAAAAGCATGGGCAGGCAGGAGAAAAGCTCCTTCTCTGATAACATTTTCTTGGTCTTCTTTTTCACCTCAAAGCAGATTCCACACCAGCCGTGAATTCTCACCTTCATGGAGCTCTTCTAAACTGGGTGCTTTAGCATGTGACATTCTTTTCACTCCTGCATCTATTCTCTGAGGTAGGCACTGTTAGCCTAGGTGAAAAGCCAGTGCACAGAGATGGTCTTTGACCAAAGTCTTCCCACTAGAGGTGGGATTGGAACACAGACAGATTGCTGGAAAGCTTACCCTCTACTCATAAGCCTGAGGGCTGCAGTGCCCTCACACATCTCTCTCTCTCTCTCCATGGGGACTTCAGTGTTCCAGCAAGGCCTGGAGGAAGGTAGGGCCACAGCTGCTGAGCCTGGTGGATGCCCAAAGGCAGAGCTGACCACACAGGTTGGTAGGGGCTGGACAGGCTGAGTTTGAGGGGAAAGGCCCCTCAAGGTGGGTATCCATGTCGCTTTCCTCCCTCCCTGCTGGAGCCACAGCACATCTTTTTTTTTTTTTTTT